GATGTCCCGATCACCTTTTTTTGCTCCCGATCCGATTCCGATCATTTGATTTTGACAATTTGCCGATACCGATTTTTCCCGATCCAATCTTTATGCAATGCATTAAGAGGAAGAAAAGCATTCAAGTTGTCCCTTAAGGTTATTTTTGTATTTAAATTGGATATTCTATCCAACATGGATATAGCTTCTTTTTTTCACAGCAGCATTGGATCAGTTCAGTTGTGCAGCATTGGATCAAAACAAAATAAAGCTTATCAGTACTCGTTAGCTTACTGCTACAATTAGACACTGCGCCCTGCCCACTCTGTTGCCAGATTTGAGAGAAATAAGCAACCAGGTCTATGAAAACAAGCCCCAAAGAAGCAACACATACATGATGTTGTGTAATTTGAAACCAAAACTAAGGCCTCAGGATGACTTTAAGACTTGAGCATGGTCATTTTTGTTTTGTAACATTGAATAAAAAATTTAAAAATAGTATTTAAAAAAAAGAAAAGAAATCCCCGATTTTTTTCTCCCGATTCCGATCTTTTGAAAATCACGTGATCGGCTCCGGTCCCCGATCACGTGATCGGATCGGGACATCTCTAACTGTAATGCAGTCTTATTTGCATTCTTTTACGAGAATTTAAAAAATATATTAATCTCTGCTCAGGGTCGCTGTGCTGCTGCTGCCTAAAATTGGAGGACTAATACTCAAACAATTCCAGAAAAGGCTACATTGTTCATCCAATGAGGATCTAAACCAAACTGTTATTGTGACTAACCCTCGTGTAACCTTTTACAAATTGTATTTAAATCCATTGCGCTAAACATAAGTCACATTAACATATAGGTGATACAGAGTTTATTTCAAAGATATTTCAGTGTCTCCATCATCTCTTCACTTCACAGTGTCATGGTTCTAATTCACCTTAATGTTTCTGATCTTGTAGATCTGGGTGAACGAGGGATCGAAGTTGGTGTACTTCCAGGGCACCAGAGACACTCCTCTGGAGCACCACCTGTACGTGGTCAGCTACGACTCACCGGGAGACGTGGTCCGACTAACCAAGCCCGGCTTCTCTCATAGCTGCTCTGTTAGCCAGGTAAACCATTCATTTATTTTCACATGTCCAAATACGTTGACGGTTCTTCCTATCCAGCTGTTAATATATCCATATTAAAGTAAATGCTTTAGTAAAGGTATATATTGGCATGGTTAAAAAAAGATTGTATATTTTCCTCGATCAGTTGTGTGTTCTTTATGTCAATGTGAATTTTAGAGGTATGTGCAAAGTCTTATAGAACTAAATCCCAACAAGTGAGTTATAGCTGACAGACTTGGATAACACAAATCAAAGGAAAGCTATGGAATGGTTCAAGGCAGATCAAAGAGACCACTTTACCTGCGTAAGAACGATGCAAGTTAAGTCACCTTTAAACCGGAGGAAAGCTGTCAAAGCCAGGGATTGTTTGAATAGTCTGCAGTATTATATGGGATAAAGGCTCTCTGGCTGTCAGCTGTGCTTTACAATAGCAGCTCATGTTGGTCTTTTAAACTCTGATCTTTGTAGAGTGTGGTGTAGCATTGCAATGTCATCCTCTCCTCCCTCAGCCCTTCTGTTCCTTGTCAGTTATATCTTTAACATAGTTTTGTATATTTATTATTTTCTCTCTTGCTTCTTTCACCCTGCAGAACTTTGACTATTTTGTCAGCCACTACAGTAACGTGAGCACGCCTCCGTGTGTTCATGTCTACAAACTGAGCTGCTCAGAAGGCGACCCACTACACATGGTACCAGAGTTCTGGGCCAGCATGATGGAGTCACCAGGTAAACAGGATGTGATGCAACCAAGAGCCACACGGTTGTTTTCTGATTAACTCAATATGTAGAGGTTTAACATCATTGGGCCGGTTTCTCCTAGTGAGCAGTTTGGCTGAGTTTGAAGGTTGCTTGACTGTCTTTGGATTTTATGTTTGGAATAATCAATAAAGCTCAGACTGTAGGGGAAAGTTGAGGTTTGTTTGATTAGATCAAGGACAGTCTTTTCGATCCACCACGGCGTCCTCCAGACAATCCTGAGGGCATTCGATAATGTGTTGCACAAACACTTTCGTCATCATGAGCGATTTTTGTCAGGGTTCATTGTCGGGTATGATTCTAAAAAAGTGTGAGGAGGCAAAACTTTAAAATAAAACCTCTTGTTTAAAAAAGGTCTGGGGTTCACAGAGTTGACTTAGCCAACGACGGTGTGATGACTTAGGTGCTGTTTACACGAGAACGCAAACGGTTGTATCTGCTACTTTTCTCTCACGTATAGCCCGTTCGTTCACACAAGGCCGTAACGGAAACGTGGAAACGGACCCTGCAAACGATAACGGGTCCCAAGGTGGATAGATCTGCAAACGGAACGCTCTGGGGGGCCAAACGGCTCTGTGTGTACGCTAGTGTTGCCCGGTGTACCGATACTTGAAAGGTACCGCGATACCCTGCCGTTAAAAACGCTACAATTCCTCCGTTTCATTAGTATCGGTACTTTAAGAATGACGGGGAAAAGTACTCCGGTGAGAAAGGCTAAGCGCTGTTTTAATAAGAGCCGTGTGTGTTCAGCGCTCTGCTTCCACTCCCTGCACTGCAGCCGGGCGTGCCTGCAGTCCCTCCCCTCTCAAGCACGCTCTAAGCCCCTCCCCTCTCTCATACACGCGCTAGCTGCCAGAGCATGTGAGAAAACGAGAAGCATGGCTGCAAGTGGGAGTACAACTGCCGCTGCGCCTCGGCTTGTTGACAAAAAAGACGCCAGAAGCGAAATTTGGAAGTATTTGAGCTATATCTCTGACAGTGAGGGCAAGCCTACGGACACCACGAGGCCTGTCTGTAAGACATGTTTTAGATCCCTGCAAACCAAGGGAGCCAACACATCAAACTTGGCTAAGCACCTCGCCGACCGGCATCCAGAGCTGTTTAAAGAATTTAAAGACAGGCAGGTTAGCGAATGTGATAGATAACATAATTACATCATGCTCAAGCCCATGCCCTCAAATCGAAGTCAAACAAGTTTATTTATTTTGTGACAAACGAACGTTTTCGTAGTTTGACGAGGCAATTAATGGCAATGATAACTGTCTAATATGGCTATCTTTTTAGCTGACTTACCAATGTGGCTAACATCTGCAATATACATTTAGTCAATAATTATTTATATTACTGTACTATTCGAGTTAATAAAATATAAAGTTAACTATCAAATAAATCACATAAACTCAAGTATAAAGAAGAGACCATGTTGTAAGAAAACTACCATTGTATTGATCATGAAAATAATAAAAGAAAAGTATTGAAAAAGAATCGGAATCGCAATTCTCGACTTGGTATCGGTAT